TGTCTAAAAACATCACAAGATTTTTTTCTCTTCAGTTACAACATTAACTTACTCCCAAGTATTTCTGCAACAGCCTCACGGGTCACTAACGTTTCTGACTCCAAGTAGACTACAAATGCTGCCAGAAACACCAACCGCTGAAGCACAAACCTCCAGTGCTCGTGAAATCTGTTGAAGAAAACACCAAGTCAAGGTATAAATAAATAACATCTATTACTGCAGAGTTAGGCAACAAGCATACATTATGTATACATTATATTTTCCTCCTTTACACATAGCACTTTGCAATAATTTTGGCTTAATAAAACACCACCAGCTCAAAGTCATCTCCTTGGTACTGCACACCTTCCCCCAGGACGCTACGCTGGACGCCAGCACTGCTCGCACCGCTCACCTCCCTACTCAGTTCATGGAGTTTCTCAGGTTGTCGTGCCCAGGAGACACCCAGGGCTTCCCCTCCCTTCTTCCCTCAGCGCATCTGAGCTGACAAGATTCCTGTTCTTTGAAATGTTCTTGCTACACACTGTCCCCTTCTGGCAGCAAACAAAACACAAAGGTGACAACTTCATTTAGTATCTGCAGTATCAAACAGCCATTTCACGTCAGGTTTAGAGCTGTGTTTTAAGAAATGTCCCAAACCTAACAGCTTAACTGAAATTAACAAAGCAGCAAATGCTCTGCTCTCAGAAACAAGGGCAACTCCAATAAAACACCAATTTCTTTTTTTAAAAAAAGTTTCTAGAAAAATAATTAAATACTGGATACGTTTAGTGAAAAGTTAAAAATCAAGAGTTTGAGCAAAAGCATTTTTTATCTGTGCCAATAAAAACCTCACAATTCTCAAAGAGAAAGAAGCATTGGTCCCCATAAACCTTTAAATCATTCTTCCAGAGTAATGATGCTAAATATGCTCAGGCAATTCCCGTATCCGCGTCTGGCTGTGTGTGATCCTGCACACCTGTAATACTGATCAGCGGGAAACTTGGTCTTCAGAGATTCCAGCTGTGTTCTCACTGTACCAAAGTGTTCACGAGCCTTCTGACATTTCTTTGGTACTGAAAAAGAAACAGAACAACATTCAGTACTTGACCAAAACCAGGTTTTTGTAAACAGAGTTTTCTAGTATATGTACGCTCCTTTCTTGTCCAAGACAGTCTACTGACATTCAAATCCATCTAAGAAATACTCATTGTCGCTGCATGAGTCATGCAGGTAGATGAGAAATACTCCTGAGTTTTGGGCTGTCTGATCTGCTCTAGTCCTTAAGTTCTGAACTTGAGACAAGATGCCCCAGTGTTATTTAGGAATCACCGCTAATCATGAATAATTACCGTAGCTATAAAACTTGTGTCATGGGTGAAGAACCCATTCTCTAATGGGCACTGACAGGAGAAAACGCTGGAAAGGTCAAGCAACCTACAGACCAAGAGGCAACGGGGGATACAAACAGATGGAGGCAGGAACGAAGGAATATGCAGTCGATGCGGTGTTTGTCTGTGCAATGAACCAACGAGCAAAGCAGCCTGGCAATGTGCTGAGCAGGGCGACACACAAGCCATGAAAGATGACAAGCAGAGATGGAGAAAGGCTGAAAAAGGCACTGAGTGTAAGACATCATCTGAGGTAGCAGAGGGGCAATTTCATTCGAGGGTCTGTAAATGCAGAAGAGCTGGGACTATGGCAACAGACACCGGGAGGGCAAGGGAGGGAGCCAGCAAGGGCAGCGATGCGGTTAAAGCCCCATGCCACAAGCCCACCCATGCAGCAGCGCTCTGGAGTGGCAGGGCTACGGGTGGCGCTGCAGGAGGAAGGACACAGCAGAGATCAAACATGAGCTGATAACGGGACATTTTTAGTTTTAGCTGTGTGGACGGAGTAAGAGAAAGGGACGGCGAGCTGGGTTCTACAGGTGTTATAAAGAGAGAAACAAGATGACCTAATGCAGTGGTTTAGAAAAAACAACAACAATCAGATCACAAGCAACAGAACAGCACCACACACAGTCGGCCTGAAAGAGCACACAGACCAAGCAGCGCCACCAAATGACCTGTACAGTCAAAGGAGAAACAACTTTCTCTATTTTTCACAGTATTTTTTTCTTATTGATCAGTTAGGTAAGATGAGGTGCAACATCCCTTCAGGAAACTACATTTCCTGCTTTCAAGCGATATATTTGAAGAAACTGGATTTTAGCCTGTCCAATGCATGTTATACCTCAGCAGAGAAACAGTCTCTTTTTTACGTACCACCCACTGCCACCCTGTTGTTGATATGAGTTACAGCCACACTGCACCTGCAGCACCTGCAGGGCTTGACAAAACTAACCAGACCAGTACTTCTTAACTGCAGCCATCTCAGAAATCCTGGTCGTGACCCAAGGAAGGCAGGAGATCAACCCGACAGGCTCTCCTACATCTTGATGTATAGAAGCTAGGATTATTTAAACAAGATCTATATAGGAGCTAAATTTGAAAGCTGTGATGAATGCTTTTTATCAAACAAGCCCTACTAGAAGTCACTTAAGTGTGTTTAAAAAATTTCTTTCAATTAATAAACATCATTTCTGTTAAAAAAAAAAAAAAAGGAGGGGGGGCACTTAAAAATAAAAGTTTCAGAAAGCAGAAGGCAAAAGTGCTCTGTGTGGCAGTGAGAACGAAGGAAATATATGAAGCTCCCTGACAGCTGCCCTTGGAACACCATCCTCAAACTACGACCTCTGTGTCAATCATATAAACTGTCACGTGGCAGCTGGGGACCGAGTAAGGAATAAATTTGCATTTTGGCTTCTGCCGAAGGAACTTGTTACAAAAATAAACAATCTTTACTGTAAAGTTTCAGACAACAGCACCCAACAATACACTCATAACCTCCCAACTTCAAACTATCCTCGTGCATCCTCGCACCACTTGGTCACCACTGATGCTTTGCTAAACTTCACACAATGCGTTCCATGAGCAAATACACACTAAGTTGACTTTCAGCCTCCAAAGACCCTACCTGTCACTCACTCAATCAGCTAACAGCCAGCTGCAGCACACACTGTCCAGAACAGTTTCCTGAGCAGTTCCCAAACTCCGTGTTGGACAGGGAGCAGAGGGCATGGAAGTAGAGAGACCCTCTAACGCTGTTCTGCAGGCTGCTGGCCTGAGGCTCTGCTGGTTTTCCTTCCCTTCCCCACAGCTGAATAAAGGATACAACTGAAAGTGCTTATCCCACAGCTAAACACAGTCTCATGCTCAGTGCAGAGAGACCACAGAGAAGCCGGCACTGCGAAACAGCTGTTGTCTGTGGGGAGGTGGCTGCCCGACAGTACAGGAAATTAGATGAAAAACCTCAATGAAAACAGGTTTAGCCAAGAGGTATTTTAAGTCCCTGGAAAACAGAGGAAAGGTGTTGTGCAAGATATAATTTTAAATACCACTGACTGGTATAGGAAACTGCCCTCCATCAAACTTCCAACCATCCCGTAGTTCTATTAACAGAAATCACGCCACCCCTTACCCTTCTCTTTGGTAGGTTGGATTCCTGTTGTCTCCTTCAGTTTTCATAACTCTATCTCAATTGGTGGTGCAAGAATAATTACAAAGGGTTAACCAGCAGGTTGCAGGAGAAAGTCAGTCATCTCCCACTTACGCTGGCACAAGGGAGGGGGCACAGCAAGCAATATAGCTTCTGTCAGCAGCAGCACCAGCTTAAACCATTCACAGCAATACAGCTGCAGCCACCAAGCATCGTTAGTTACCTGTCACCTGTGAACTTGTAGTAATTAATACTATTTTTGCTTTTTTATTTATTAGTTATTAGTTTATATAGTTTATTTATAATTCAATATTTTTATAGTTCAATATAGTTTACTAATAGTGTGAATAGTTTTTCTTACATCTTAGAACAAATAAATATGAGGCTAAAAAATCTTGATGCTACGAAGTTTAGCCAGAACTCCATTGCAGTGAATAATCCACTCTTTCATAGTTCCAAGAGCCATCATTTATCCCTTTTTAATCTACTAAGGAAGAATCACTCTAGTTTCTTAATAAAAATGTGGTACTGACTCAGCAAACGGATGCTGTAGTAAGCCAAACAGCCATTTAAGTGCACTACACTGCAGAACTACAACCATTATCAAATAAAACTGTAGTCTAAAGATGTGACATCTGACAAGTGCTATTTATCCCCCGAACAATCCTTCTGTTAATTGCCATTATATCATTCTGCTGTAAACCTTTATTAAACTAAACCTTTATTGACTTTATTACGCTTGGAATTGATGACAAACTGACAGGTCTATAATCATGAGTTAGCTCCTAACCTATTAAGCATGCATTCATTATCTTTGGTATTATAAGAATTATAAGCTGAGCTTCCCCCCTCCCCCTCTTTTTTTTTTTTTTTAACTTTAACTAATCCAAATCTCTTCTAAGACTGCAAGTTCCAGAACCACCTCTCTCCAAGAATTAAAAATCTAGTGAAAATACACTGACCCAGACAGAGGTCTCTCCTATTAAATGCTGGAAAGCAATGCCTGAAGTTGATATGCACACAAAACAACTGTCACAACATCCATGGGTTTACTCAGCTTAGAAAAATGAGTCTATGCTGGCATAAATTAGCCAGTTAGCAGTTCTGATTTCTAGCAATGCCAGACTTCCTAAGTAGGCGGAAGCTGCACTTGCCAGTAGAGGTCAAGCCTCAGGTGTTACACGTTGCTGAACACGTACCCTCTGGGAGACCAGAGAAACGCTGGGCTCCAGCACAAGTGTGCTGGTGAATGTCATCAGGCTGATGACAACCAGTCAGCTCTGCAGGTGAATAAAACAGCACCTGGTGAGGTTCCTCCTGCTATTCACCTTCAGAGAGTGGCCTGCCAGATGTCTCCCCTTCCCAAATTCCTCTCAAGAGTTTCCAGGAAAATCTGAAGGATGCTTCTTCTCAGGACATATTAATTGACTTGAAAAAAATAGCTTTTAAGCCACATATTTAAGGGGGAAAAAACCCATTTATTCCAGTAGTTTCACCAGTAAGTCCAAAAATGGGGCTGGGGGAGCAGAAGTTTGATTTGGCATCTAGGTCTGTTCTCATGCCCTAGAGAAAATGGGTTGGCCCGGAAACACATCAACCATCTTAAACAAATTTGGACTGAAAGCAAGGAACAAGGCTAGCTACAACCCAAACCTCAAAACCAGCAGAACAATTCCAGTTGCCAATAAATATACATCAAGGACAGCTCCTGCTTTATCAGCCTTTGCAAATTCCCTTTTGATTTTGCAACATTAAGCAGATTTTACATATACATACACACATAGTCAGTCTCCGTACAAACCAAAGTCCCCTCCTTCCCACAGCACCCTGAACACCCCCCAGCTGTTTGGGGGTGGGGTGAAGAGATGAGGAAGGGGATACAGACACAAAGACCCACCAGTTGATGGTAAAATTAGCAGAATATAAAAAACTACATGCGTGTCGCTTAGAGGGAAACCTGTGAGCCAATTCAACAAGCCAGAAAGTGAACACCTGTAAAACGACCACATTCTTCTGCATGGAGACAGTGAAACACCAACCTGGGGAGGGCAGAAATAGAAGGAATGGTGTTTCCTGAGGATGAACGGCAGCTTTTCTAGTTACCTGGCCTGAAACCTCCCAGCTGCCAACTCGCCCCCCCCCAGCGTGCAGCCTCCAAGAAGCCCACGCAGGACATCCCAGGAGCGCCCACGGGCGACTGAAACCTGGAAATGGGGCGCCCGTGACAGAGGGACCGGCGTACCCCGGGGGGTCCTTTCCGTCCCCTCCCTCCTCCCCA